GGGATTTTATCTTAGCTTATCATTGCTCGGAGCTCCTATTGTTTGTCTGATTGGAAGAAGATATCTTCTTACAGAATCATAAATGTGAAGAAAGTAAATAGAAAATGCCAGTGTATTATAAACGCTTTGTAATGCTGCCATTGTGCCTTTCTGTTTTCCAGTTGCAAGACTGGGGTTCTAGCGAGGCAATTTATAAATATTTCAAGGCTTATTCGGTAGACACCTTTTCCATTATACATGATAACGGAACAAACCGGTTATTTCTGTAAATTTATGGTTATGTCAATATTTACGAATTAGTGTCTGAAGAACGTAACACTATTTTATTTTGTAACAACACGTGGTGGAGAAAAAGTGATTCCTGTATGAAATTTTGGTCGTTTCTTACAAGCATATTATGACTTTGTGGTTGAATTTACTGCGAACTCATCATCATTGTTTGTTTCGTACGTCGGATTCTCGTTATTATCCAGAAATTTATATGTAAATTAAAATCTTTCCCAAGATCTTATCTAAATATACTTCAACTTCATTGGGCCCAGCAAAATATAATCATGATACACAAGCATCAAACGTGTAAAACTGACAAGTATTTTAATACTTGTTCATTCCCTTAATTAAAAAATTTATGTTTTGTCGTTCCACCACACTTTACTTTTAGGCAATATTTATGTGGTGGATTAGCGGGAAAAGTTTCTCAGGTTGATTGAACATGTTCAAGTGCGGGACATGCTCCGATATTTTAAAAAACTCCATTCATGTTCACTATAGGGGGATATGACCCTATCTGCGTGTCCACACTCCCGTGTTATTAAACACACGTTAACAGAGTGTGACTCCGATCTGAACTCCTCAGAAGTCAATGAGCACACAATAGATTGAATGCCAAATGTTTTTATATTGTAAAGATGCGCAATTGAATTGATCCCAATAACAGATACCAAATTACACTTAAAACCTTAATGCAGTAATGAGATGAAACCAAATTTCTAAATAACAAAGAACGACAAAGACAAGCAACACTGAACGAGATAAAACATATCATAAAGAAAATGAATTAGAGCAACGGCATTGTTTCAGGCGAATAACATGCACTATTAAACAATACGTGGTGAAAATATTAAAATACACAGTAACTACTCCAATGTAATCGCTACATTCACTTTGTTTTTAAGCGCATCATATTATTAAATCATTAATAAACAATTTACATAACAGTTTCAAAGTTCATTGGAAAATTTGGAAAATTGGAAAATTAGTGGAAAGTTCTTGATTTTCACGCGCGTTTGTAAGTGACTAGAAAATAATTAATAGACAGATAAAAGCAAAGAATAAACTTGTCAAAAAGTCTGTGAATACTCGCATCCCATTTACGGGTTGACAAAATCAATTCTTTGGAAATTTACATGTTGTGTTTGATCAAACTGGTATTTCTACTTCGTTTGACATTGCTCAAGGACCTGTCAAGTCCATTACACATTTCGAAAAACATACCTTTTCATCAGTATTTACATAACATAATAGCATTGCGAGAATAGTTATTTTTAATGGCAGTTTACGTACGACCTTTATTTCATTTATGAGAGACCGATGATGTGGGATGCATTTGTTTCAACTTTTTGAACCCTAACATCTCTGAGCGAAGTTACTCTCTCACTATGAAGGTTCGCGACGCCGTATCGGTAAAACAATGAAATAATTCGAAATATGGGTTATTTTGAACGTTTATAACTTTTTAACACTTATGGGTGGCAAATTGACGCACATCTCAAACGAAAGCAAATTTCATCGTGTAATGAGATAAAATGTTACATTTTAAAATAAAGATTGTCAAAAAGCGAGAAATTTATTTTAGTCTAAACATATTTTGTTTGCTTGTAAGTGAGTTATGATCTCAAATCTTGTATGTTGGTGGAAAATATATTATCAATCACATAGATCTCTTTATATGCTTCCAGTTGATACTTGAATTATTTCCGTGGCTATTATACAACCAAAATTATAACGAAATATGCAATTCTCCTTTCTTGTGTCGGATGATCAAATTTAATAAGCGGTCATGACTAAAGTGACTTTGGTCATGACATACTGATTACGTAGCCACGCAATTGCGATCACATGACTGGCGTAACGAAGATGTTACTACATACAGTCGAGACGTTTGCGTGTCGAATTGCGTAAGAAACAATTACAGATTAGCTTGTGATCAAGTTCTCAGCAAGACATAAGTCGACGAGTTTCGATAAAACTTCAACCCATTTTATCCTGTCAACTCTGAGACACCGGATGCGTAAAATGAATTGTATGAAATGATAGCTGGAACAAGTAAAGATTTCGTATGTTTCGGCCTTATTGAATTCTTGAAGTATTAATACATCGTAGTTTCGATACCGCTTTATATAAAAATCTATACGGTGTGTTTTTTTGAATGAATTTCCTCTGTAAGATTCACTAGGCAATCTTTTTTTCTCCTTCATCAGAACAAAGGTTGAACGACTTCAGTCATTCTGACCTAGAAGGCAGATTTCCATGAAAGCAGCCTGCAACTCCCACCGTCTTATGAATTATGTTAGGACGCACAGCGTGATAGGAGATTGATAACGGTTTCATGATTTTACTGTTATATTATTGGACACGTTAGTGGACCTATGGATCGTTCAATATTATGTTGTTGTTGTTCTTGTTGTTTTTGTTCTTGTTGTTCTTTGACACGTTTTTGGACACCTAGTAGAAAACCTAAAAAGCCGCTTTTCTCTTTGATTACTGGACCAATTGGTCTGAAATTTTCAGTGGTTAAAGATAAAATTTTTCTCCAGAAGGCTATTACTTTTATTTATTTCAAATATTTCTGCTATCTCTGTGATATTTGTTTTTGTTGGCTATGACGTCTCCGAACGTTCTGCGGACGCATATGCTGGCACTCCTCTTCATGATATTTTGATCACGTGCCATCGAACGCCGGTGTTTCGTAACGAAATCCTGGTTTTGCTGAAATTTGAAGAATGGTAAATGACGAATAGTGCCGTAAATGGTGTTATATTACAGTAGTGACTCGGATCGTTGGTGTTACTACAGTTGTGAGTCGGACCATCTTGCAATTTCAATCCACGCTGTCACAAGACAGGAACTTCTAAAGATAGGGCAGTTTCGAACCGTAATACAGCGCGGTGACACTGAACTAACTCGTAACTGTCTCGTGAAAACGGGGTTTGCAGTCCCTGTTATAACTGATGTCTTTAAATGTTGGTGCTTTTCTTGGAATCGGCAAACGTGTCCATATATTTGAGCATAGCTCTCTTGCTTGCTGATTACCGGTATCTGGTTGCCACAAGTTTGTGTAGCTTGGCCTGATAGTCAATTTCAAGGCTATGCGCAACATCGGGCTGGTTAATTATCTTGCATGGAAATTTAAATAGTAACGTGTCGTCGTTACTTGTTTGCGAATTTCGATACGCTCTGTTACATTTGCGTGATAAACTTAAAGTCGTGCGTCACGTGACGTCGCATTACGTTGTCGGTAACGACAAGATGTCGTAGCGACGCAAGTCAAGACTACAAAATATTAAACACATTTGTTTATGAAATTTGTCCATAAAAAGGTAATCAAATTATCTTATTATATTGGTGATTACATATTAGGTTATTTCTTTAAGAAATCGAACTTTTTTGGTATTCAAAATTTGCTCTCACTTAATAATTTCATACGCAATTTAATAAGTCAATTTTCTAAGACAATTGTATAATATATTATCGATATTCATGACATAAATAGCCCCAATAACCAACTTTCATGTAATGTGAAACTTATCTGGATACTTATTGTTGTTTTTAAGAAACAAGAGTATGAAGTTCTTTACTTTTTACTCGAAGGGCAAGACGGAAAACCAGCTTGCCGGGTTCAAGCGGTTTATTATATATGTTTGATTTATATCTCAAAATGTGGAAAATTCCATGCAATTAGTTATTTAACATATACAAAAATACAATCACGCAGTTTTCTATATGTCTGACTAAAATGAAGCATTTATGTATGCTTACAGTCATACTTGAACTGAGGGAAAAACACGCATGGCGAGAAAATATATCTGTAAGCCAGACTTGAACTTTGTGTGTATTCGTCTATTTGAATATAGAAATGGAATCACTATTGTTCCAATTTTGAGGTAGAATTGAAACATTCAAGCTAGAGTTCTCGTTCAATCACGATTTTTAAAACCTCAATTTTTGGTTCGTGTCTTCAACAATCCAAAATAAATATTTTGGTACATACTGGAACAAGGAATGCATTGATAATCAGATAACCGCATCCATACTAAACATAAACGATTACACTTTGTGGGGGCGAGGAAACATTAATTAAAAAATTGGAATGCTGAATCACTCCAAATGTTTAAGATCTAATATGAAGATTACAAGAACTTGTAATTCTTGTTGCATTTCTACTGATGCAGCGTGGTTTTTATATTTTAAATATCCAAATTTAAATGAATATTTTAAACACGCAGACCGGAATAACATGAAATATTTAAGATTTGTTTAACAATAAAAAAAAAAACTATTAGCTAATATATACCAATTTATTTAAATTTTTTTCATGAATTATATAATGAAAAATACCTGATCTATATTTTAGGTATATTCATCTTTCCCTATTGGCTCAGGATCTCAGTTGCAATTAAAACTCAAACTTGTAACCGCAATGGATAAGTGATTCTCCATCTCACCAATGAGTTCAAGAAATTGGATGAGGTTTGTCTAACCGGAATGATGAAAGGTATTCCAAACTAGTCGCTTCAAGAGCAAGACTATAAGGCGCTCATTGCATAAATCAGAGAAAACACTTTAAACCAACAGAAGAATATATACTTTGCCAACTTTTCTAACGGTAATATGATGGGAGTTGGTCTCCGGGGAGAAATACGTAATTTATTTATGCAAAAAAGAGTGCATACTGTCACTCATCAACGACCGCGGATACAAATAACTTTGTGAGACGATACTGCACGGGCAACTTATGTTTGGGAAAAATGCTTGCAAATCATTGGTCGACGTTTTTATTCGGTTATGGTTAATGTAAAACATTGATGTAAAAAGTATATAAATGGCACCAATTGCATCATTTTGCCATTTCAAAGTATTCTTCCATCTTCTACGAATTCGATAAAAAGCGATCGAGTCAGTAGAGACGGGAAAGATGATGCTTGTTCGACTTTCGTTTTATTTCGCACTTTGTGCATTGGCGCTCGGCAGCTATCCACCGAAAAAGTGCAACGTAAAAGAGGTTAGTATGTATAAGATATAGATATTGCATCGGACTGTGTTATTATGAACTTCAGGAACTTGTGTTCAGCTGTCGTGCTCGATTGAATGTTATACTTTTTTTTTACTTTCTGTCAGTCTACCTACTTCAGTTATGTGTCAAGCACATAACGTGTCGTAGTTTTTATCGCATTGACTTTAAATGCGCCAGTCGTCATGTAATACGAGTACTGCACCACCTCAAATCTACATGGTTTCAGTACCCCTTCAGTATTTTTCTGTCAGTGATCGGCTGTAACCTTGCCTAGAGATGATTCTTCTTTACGTCAGAGTGAAAGCACCTGGCCTTGGGCATCATCTCTTTGGAAAAATAATATTTTATTTTCATTTTTTTGAGATTAGAGCCTTTCCTCGTATAAATAAATTTTGCGTTTTTATGTTTGTTATTTTCTACGAAAGCACCACGCGACTGATGTGAATCACAGCCAACACATGTTATGCCGTTTCTATTTTATATTTATGTCTAAAATCTTTGTTCAAATAAATTACACCTTCCAACGTGTGAATCTGGAAAAATAATTAAAGCGTTTTGAGATAATGTTAAAAATAGATTGCCTTCTGGGTGGTTACTCTAACTTACCTTAAATTACCGGAACCTAAAATTCTCAATTTTAACTTGTGAAGCACGTTAAATAAAATATTATAGAGCTCAATCGACTACATTTATTCATTTGTGACAAAACCCAAACACAACCAACAACTCATATTTTACGTTGGTATAAGATTCTTTTTATTTGATTCTTGTTTTTAACAAGCTACCTGATTGAGAGGTTGTAAGAAATACACAAATTGGTTAACGTTTTTTTTTTTACAAAGGTGAGTGAGAAGTACTACTACGACTTCCATCATGGCCAACAAGATACATATGGTGGATACAAACCACGCGGAAGAGATTGCAAAAAATCAAATTTGTAAGTATCAATTATTTCAATCATTTTTGTTTTATAGTACTCGGGCACTGTCCTAATCTCAACTACGTAACTTCGTTTAGGAATGCTGTTTTGATTATAATGGGTTCGTTTATATTACTTTTATATTCAATATTACAGGATAACCCCTAAATCAAGACCCCACGTATTTTTCTATATCTACTTCTACAAAAATAAATAAAATTAATTATATTTCGTTTACATTTGAACTTCTGGGCGGTCTGGGGTCACTCTCTTGGCCCGCCAAGGTTGTGATTTGGATGAGATCTGCCGTTGCTGAATTTTCTCCCTTGGCTAATCAAGGGTGTAACCTGTGGGTTTGGCTCATCTCGGCCAATTCTTTTACGTTGCCAATTGTTGTCCAGAACCTCCTCAAGTCTGCCACATAAGGTTTTGTGTTCACCGTTTAAGCTTTTTCATTTTCTACTTCGAACCGATACAAACCTTTTATGTCATGTTTGGAAATGGCTACCCCTGGCGGGGGTACTTTTCTGAGTTTAACGGTCTCTGCAAGATTCCCTACGGAAGTTCTGTGGCCCAGTAAACATTATTTCTGCTATTGCCATGTCTTGATAGTATGAAGTGTGCATTTCGAAAAACGAAACATGGTTTGGCCGATCCGAAAATTTTGCGCAACGGACGCAGGTCTATCTCCAATGCTGAGGTCCTTGAGAACATATTTTTGACAAAACATAAGTTTTGTGCAAAAGCTCCTAGATTATTAAAACTTTTGGGAACAATAAATACGTTCAAGTGTGAACAAACGTTAATAATTTTTCTTCAATTTCGTAGAAGTATTTGGGGGATTTATGGATTGCGTTATGGTGTCACCCTGTATATCACCAATTTGAAATTTTAATTGGTCATTAATTAGGCTTTCCGCTGCTTGTCAGCAGGGAACCCATTGTATTCCTGTGTTTTATTATTATTATTATTTATTTTTAAGTTCTCAGCTAGCAATAAAATGCAAATTTTATGCATGACTGACCACGCTTTCACGCTCCAGTGAGCAAAACGCGTCTTCAGTTTTTTTGCGATTTCTCAAAATTGATACATGCTATTGGGTTGAAATTCATAACAATGATTAATGAACATGTTCCGGATACGATATGTCAAGGATACGCATGAGTGACCTCGGCGATACGCTCCAGTGAGCAATATAGGATTTTACATTTTCATCTTCTTCTCGAGAACGACACTACTTAGAGACTTGAAATTTACATCACATGCAGATAATAAGTCCCCCATCATAAATTGCAAATTTTATGCATGACTGACCACGCTTTCACGCTGCAGTGAGCAAAACGCGTCTTCAGTTTTTTTTTTACGCGGGAAGCCTGTTAAAGCTGCACGTAGCTCTAGTTCCAATTGAGATCACTGTCACAATCACTGGTGAGGTCTTTAAAAATTTGCCCCCAACAAGACACTATACCAGTGGTTCTTAAACTGGGGAGCGCGCCCCCCTTAGGGGCGCGAGATGCTTTCAGGGGTCAAGATGGAATCGAAAATTCCCATGCAACGTCTCCTGAAACGGTCTTCGGTTCGTTAAAATATTCGCAATATTCAATCTATGACAACTACAAGAATTCGAAATGTCTCTCTATTTTACTTCATTTGTGTTCAAGGTAGCTCGCGGTTGCGGCGACGCATGACAAAATAAACTCATTACAGATCTAAAATACCACGTCAATCCCTGGACATAAGGATGTGAGATCAACTGCCCGACAATATTTAGTTTTGATATATATATATTGCGCTCATGCAAATTCGTTATTGTCGTTAGGAAGATCTGGTATAAAATTTCAGAAAGTATATATATTCAATATAGTACAATTAAAATTCCATATAAAGGACATTAGTAAATCAGAAATACATATTCATCGCCCCAAGTAATTATCATGTCTTCGCGGCACAAAATATTTGTTGAGAGAAATGAGGGCGGAAACAATCGGAGATTTAAACAAAATGCAATCGCAAACGTCATTAGGGACTTTATTTTTCAGCGCTCCAGGGCCGGGAAAAGTCCATATGCATAATTACTATTAACAATTAATTCAACGTCTTTTTTATGCTACAAATCTACATAAATTCATTTGGACTTCTCCATTATGTTAACTGTATTTTTGACCTGGTTGTTGTCCAAAGGTATTGGTAGTTAATAAAAAGTTAATAAAAAGTTTCAAAGGGGGGCGCAGCTCAAAAAGTTTAAGAACCACTGCACTATACACTGAATTTCTGATTCTCCGAAAGCTCGAGTTGCTTTCAACAATGGCATATATGATCAGAACTACGATCGGGAACTTGTCATGCGTTCACATGGTTTTGTATAATTCATAATAAATATGATTTGTTTAACATTTCTTCCGGTATTATTTGCAGCGCGCCCGCAAAAGCAGGATATTGTCCAAATCTCAAATATGGTTTTGTACAAAATGATAAATCTTGTCCCGACCGACCGTGTTATACTAAGGTGTTCAAGGCAATCAGTAGATGTCATGGCAAAGTATGGCTCTCTAAAGTGTACCACTATAGAGCAAAAGAATGCAGGTAAGAATATTTTCATATTTGTAAGTAGAATTGACGTTCAATGTTAAAAACAACAAGAAGAATTGTGACAATGCATTGAGGTTATACAATCTAATAACTTAAATTTTAGAAATATTTGTACGTTTTTATATAACATTGTCTACTATTCAAGTAAGAAAATACTAAGTAAAATAAATAACTTCATGAAAAAGTTATAGACTCGGCAATATACAATGATAACAGGTTTGAAAATAACATACGCAAGTTAGTTCCAGGGAATGTAGTAGACTTTGATAAACCCTTGTATGTATGAGTTTAAACTAACTACTCCTGCTCGGTGTTCGACAATTTATTACTGAAAAAGTTACACCAAAAAGCTACCGTTAGAAATAAAACGTTTAAATATTACTATTCGAAAAACCTTTTTTTGACCAAAGGAATATCGCTGACAAATTTGTTCCATACTTTATTTTGAATAGTTGGCACTTTGTGACGCGGTTGAAAATGTTTATATAATCTCACACTATTACATCATACGTATTTAAATATCAGAAGACGCATTCGAAATTCTATTGCTGTAGTCACGAAAACCATACGGGGGTTCCAGCTTAAATAGGGTTGAAATAAATCACGAAACAAAGATGTCTGCAATTTTCCATTTGGTCAAAAAATCCATGTTTCTCCAATAGTAACGTTTGAACGTTTTATTTTTAAGCTTATCCATTTCAGTGAGTCATTGGCGAACACAACGCGGGTGATTTATACGCATACGTACATCTGCATCAAAATTCCGATATAACGAGAATACCTGATATTTTTTTCATGCTCGCAGTTCATATTCTGGAAAATCTTGCCAAAATTTTGGGTTCAATCGTCAGCCACACGGTAGATATAAACGAAGCTCTGGAGAATATCTTGGACCGCGTTCAGTTCCTCATGTATCGAATTCAGGTAGCTATGGAGCGTCATCCCATCGTGGATCGAATTCAGGTGGCTATGGAGCGTCATCCTATCGTGAATCGAATTCAGGTAGCTATGCAGCGTCATCCCATCGTGGATCGAATTCAGGTGGCTATAGAGCGTCATCCTATCGTGGATCGAATTCAGGTAGCTATGGAGCGTCATCCCATCGTGGATCGAATTCAGGTAGCTATGGAGCGTCATCCCATCGTGGATCGAATTCAGGTGGCTATGGAGCGTCATCCCATCGTGGATCGAATTCAGGTGGCTATGGAGCGTCATCCCATCGTGGATCGAATTCAGGTGGCTATGGAGCGTCATCCCATCGTGGATCGAATTCAGGTGGCTATGGAACGTCATCCCATCGTGGATCGAATTCAGGTGGCTATGGAACGTCATCCCATCGTGGATCAAATTCAGGTGGCTATGGAGCGTCATCCCATCGTGGATCGAATTCAGGGGGTTATGGAACGTCATCCCATCGTGGATCGAATTCAGGTGGCTATGGAACGTCATCCCATCGTGGATCAAATTCAGGTAGCTATACTTCCAATCGTCAGCCACAACGTAGATTGAAACGAAGCCTTGGAGATTATATTGGATCGGGTTCAGTTCCTCATGTATCGAATTCAGGTAGCTATGGATCGGGCTATCACCCCGTTGGGCCGAAACCAAGAATCTACAGCAAATGCTCTTGTTACACGTTCAAGTGCACCCATGAGTTTGAAGCATGCTATGAACACAAAGGCGTCTACTACAAGGACACCGTGACAGCACAGGTGCGAATATACATTTTTGTGATAATCTAATTAAGCAAGGTTCGGAAAATCAGCCGGGTTCATAGTCAATTGATGAAACCATGCTGCCTCATCAGTTAGTTGGCAAATGGAATTCTAATCGGGGTCAGTCAATTAAATCATATTGCTGCGACGATGACGCAGATAATCCCGGCTCTTATGTTAGTCCTTAACATATCGGTTCTTCTCAAATACGTCCGACGCAGTGGTTCCCAAAGTGCGGTCCACGAAGCACTTTCGCGGGGTCAGCAAAAGAAAGTTAGGGCTCGTAGCTTGATAATACAAAATTTAAATCCTTGAATTTGCAAATACATATTTGTCGTCTTTTGCTGTTTGCAATCAATGCTGGGGACACTGATTCTTCACTTACTATTTCGATCACGCTGCAACCATTGCGATGTCACAAAGATGTGGGCCTGTGATATCACAAATTAACTAACTGCGGAGGTGTAGCTGCCTTCCAGGTGTTTGTTGGTATAGAAGGGAGTAATAGAGAACTAGGCAGTATAATAAAGTTATGCCAGTTCGCTTTTAAATGCTGTTTTACATCGAAACAAGTGCATCCATCTCATTAAACCTTGTCATATACTTTTGTTCGTTTTATTAATTTTTACTATACAGCGCATCGATTTTTTGTTGTGACCTTTTAACATTTTGTTTTAGTGCCTAAGGCCAGTAATCATTAAAAAAAGGGGTCCGTCATGGAATTTATATTAAAAAGTCTGGTCCAACGGCATGCTATCTGTCCCAGTAGCACATTCTTGAAAAATCCTTCTTTTAACTTTTTATATTGTGTCTTCCAGGTGCCTTGTGGATGTTCCTGCTACGAAAGATCCAAGCAATGGAAATAGATTCTATATCACCATAATTCAATACTATGAAACTGCAAAATATACTGGCTGATTAAAAATTTGATAAAAACCAATTATGTATTTTTTCATGGGAGCTTTAGTGTATCTTTAGTATCATCACCTATTACTAATTCATGCATAATATTAGAACGATTTTAAGATTTCGGAGATTTGTTCATTGCTTCTGCTTGCTGTACTATATTTGAGTGGATAATAATAAATATGACTTATCGACTATAAAACATCTTCTGGGCGATAACCTAACGTTTTTATTGCCGATATATTCAATAACTCAGTAATTAACATATACAAAGGTTGTTGGTAGCGCTTCATCGGAACCCATCCACAGCATGTATATAGACAAGTATATATCTATAAAACCCGTGTATATGACTAGCTCATACTTACCATCTTGTTTGAAAAAAGTTGATATTTGCCTCGTTAGATTATCAACACATGCGCAGCTGCAAATAAATAAATGGATAAAAATTCTCCAATTGGGTCTAGAGATTAGGAAGAGTAAGAAAGGGCTTCGTTTAAAACGTGATAACTATCCGGTTAAGCTCTTACATTCGGGGGTATCTTCAATCTGACGCTCTCCCGAGTCCCGACTGAGCTAGCGAGGCACACTCACACAAATTTGAAGCAATCCACGTTTGTCTGTGCAAATAACAAATAATACAATTTTGAAATGCCTGATATCGGGAAGAAATTTAGTTCTTAGGGAATCAATCTTTATGTACAAAACTATACCAATATTCAAGTGGTAAGTAAATGGTAATCGGAACCCAGTGCTTTACTCAAGTCTGAATCTAGAGAAGTCGAGGCTTAAGTCAATCTAACCCATGGAAAAGTAGCCCGGTTTAAATACGTGGAGTACTATTATGTTGTTACATTTTTTGCTAGTGAAGGGGTCACAAAAGCAAAATGTTTTTTTCTGTAGTTATTTTGCTTATCATGAAACATACAGGAAGTATTTCTTTCCGGTTGAGCAAGGCAGCTAGATAAAAAAAAAGTGTTAAAACAAATAGCATCAAATCATAATATATGTAAAAAAAACAGAAGAATCTTCATATTCTTTATGTGAAACAGCTAGAATACAGCTCTTCAGGACGACTTGTACGAGACGTTATTTTCCCATCAGCAAATTTTTGTCCCCGGGGTTAGTAATATGATATAATTCCCAACCTTTTTTTTCGCGACCCCAATTTTCACAAAATCAAAACCCACAGATACTCGCGACCAAACAACTAGAAACGTTGAGCAACTCCGGAAATCAGTACTATATATCAGTTTAATTACCTCAATGGGAACCATGTATCTGTATATCTACTGTCAAGTGGACGTTGACGGTGAACATTGCCCCAAAAATATACAAACGAGTCCAGCAATGCGCCGGAAAACGGGACAACTTCGGAAGATTTGATAACACGTAACACATGGTATAAAAAACACAGTGTAAAAGCTCTCAGATCAGAATTATAACGGTTCTTTGGCAAAACATAGACAGACTTGATGAAATGTGGTGGATTGTAAGAAATCGCATGATACTCCGGAAATAGTAAGATGCTTCTAAATATACCTAAATTTTATTTAGTATACTCCAACAGTGTCTTTATTATTTTAGTACAATGTTAACATATTACAGATTGCTCCATTATTAATTCTAAAGTAAAACAGAGCATGAAAGTAAAATAGGAAAACGTGTACGGAATCACATCTTTCAGGTGCCTTTTTTTATTTGCTAAAATTGTTGTAGTTTTGTGTATGATACAATTGACTTCTAGGAACGCTTCGAAGTTATGAATGAAACATCTAAATACGTAATATTGCAATAGGAAAATGTTAAATTTAATGTGGGGGCAATGTGGACAAAACACGCAGCCGACTTGTAGATCTTTTCATGTGCGCAAATTAACAAAGCGCTTTTGCAACTGATTGAAACCTAAAGTGTAAATACTTTGCCAGGAAACCGCATGGTAATTCATACCAAACTTGCCAAACCCCTACTGATAACAAATAAGAAACGAATTTCTCGTAGTCTGGCAAAAAAATTTGCGCACCAGCGGGTCAACAACTTATTTGGATGTAAAAGCCATAAAAAGAATTGAGCAATTTTGGCGCCCTTTGGACAATGAATGCGTTATTGCTGAAAAAAAAATCGAAGTTGGGCAATTTTACGGTACATGCCGACCAACACAACTTTAACTTTCCAATATTCAAATCATATTCACTTGTGTGCACATGTTTAAGAGAAATTAGGCGACCCCGGAAAATCTTCACGCGACCCCATTCGGGGTCTCGACCCACAATTTGGGAATCACTGTGATATATTATACAGATACAGCCAAAAATATACATTCAGCAACATCTAACAAATATATATGCACAGCCAATCACATATACATGTACATCAAACGTCATATATTCATAGACAGTCGATTCACTACGCTGATACAGCCATTCAAGGGATTTACAACCACAGTCAGTCGATTTGATATGTGTTGTGTACATGGCCATGTGTTTGATATCATTCAATTAGCGAAGCTTCTCGGGAGTGGTACGGGAGCCAATACACATTTTACAATTTTAGTGTGTGGGTTCTATTTTTTCGCTACGGCAAATTTATTGAACGGCTATTCTCAAATTGTTGTTGTATTAGTATTCTTCTTGTTGCTGTTGTTATTTTTGTTGTGAAAGAATAGTTTTTCCTTTTAATTCCTGAACCAACTTCTTTACAATTTTCTGGGGTTTTCTGGGGAAAAGCTTTGTGTGGTGACCTCATCAAAATTGAAAATTGCGCATTGTGTGGCGGTTCCATAATCGCATTTAGGCGATCTGGTGATCAGCTGAGTCTGGAGTTTTTTGATAAGGAAGACTCCGGTACTGCAAAAAATTCGATATGAATTCGTTTTTTTGTCTTCGTGCCCACATATTTGAGCATTTGAAAAAAATTATCGAGATTTTTATAAAATAAAACAATTTTGCAATAAACAATATTCATTAATGACAATAACAGTAATTCATCATAATAAACACATATTGCATTATTACTCTGATTATATTACAAGATTCTCCATTTTTGTTATGTTTGACAGTTTTTCCTTTCCTTAATGCCAATTCTCTTTTGTTCTTTCGGATAGTGTCAATTAATTTTAAGAAGTATTTGAACAGTGGCTTACTTTTAACAATTTTACAAATATACATATAGTATCGCAAACACAATTACAAATCTGGTCAAAGCAATTTCTACAATAGCCTAATAAACATTCCAAGTTGGTGAAAGGAGAAATCAATACCAATTTTTGTAAACATCTACTGGTTCGACTGTTCCCAGAATATTGATGAATATTTACATTAAAAAAAGAGATGATTGATGTTCTCAACAGATACATTGCAAAAAAAACATAAATTCGAAGGCACTAAATAAAAGCCATGTAAAACATCATTTAGGACAATTGCTCTGTGGAATAGTTAAATGTGAAAGGAGCGGAGTTTTGTCTCAATGGTGCAAAAATTAACATTAGTATAGCATTTATTTCATTTAATATTGGAAAGTGCATTTAAATCAATGGTCCACTCTTCTTCTACTTTTATTGTTGAAATAAACTGTTTTTCGTTCAACTGACGATATATTTCTTTGTTTCTATTTTGCACAATATCTCTTATAAAAGAATCTGGGATACAACCTATAAGTTTAGAGTATTCGGTGTATTCAGATGCACTGTATTCAATGCCATATTTTTTACACAATTCAAAATAAGTAAACACATCATTGCCATAACCTGAATGTTTAAACAGTTCAACACCTTAATTATATCATGACTGTATAAAAAATGGCTTTCTCCTTTTAACAATTTTTTCATTGTACCATAGTGTATGGTTATGATAATTCAATATTTTATAATCAAACAAAGTTTCTTTACAATAATACCAGTTTTTTAAAACATTTTTTGATGTACAAAATGGAATACTTTTCATAAAATGGGAGTTCCAATGCAAATCCCCTTTCAGCAAGGGTATCAATGTATCACCCAAATATTTTAACTCAATCTTCTTCCATGGAGGATTCCTATCATCTGTTATTAAAACTGAGCCAATTATTTTTTTCGGGCTATACAAAAATTATGAACATCAATCATGTTCATTCCTCATTGTTGTATTACTCCCACCATTGTCTTTCTTTTTATTCTCTCCCAATTGGAACCCCGAATAAAATTGTAAATTATATGATTGACAGATTTCAAAAATGTATGTGGCAGGTCCACTGGCAATACACTACAAAAATATAAAAGTTGCGAAAGGACAAAACATTTAACTACACAAATTCTCTCAAGAAAAATTAGGTTTCTCATCTTCCAAATTTTTAGAATGTTTCAAATTTTATCGAATATTTGTGGAAAATTTTTCTCAAACAACAGTTTATTGTTACAAGTAAGGGCAGCAATGTCGATGTTATATTCTTTTTTATATGCGAACATATGCAAATCTCAGAAAGAAGGTGTCTCGCAATATTCATCATTTTTCTAATATAAACGGAATAGAATAATAACTTAAAAAATAAAGGCAGCTTTAACATGACGTTTTTGTTTTAAAAAAAAAATTTGATTAATTGTTCATGATAAGTTATGTTTTTCCTTTTTTCATTAAATCTTAAATTATGGTTAAGCCTAAATAATTAGAAACATGCTTAGATCAGAATCTCATCAAACTTCGTCGGGCAATATTTTTGCATTATACAATTTTTTGTAACATGTTATTCAAGTTTACCTATGTTTATCCTACAATAAATTCGAGGTTATTTTGCAAATCATACTAAAATTTGTTCATTTATAATCATGACGAATTAACTTCAAATTGGTTATTTAAATTGAATCCGAGGAAAAATATGTTGAGTAATATAAAATGATAAATACAGAATTGAAATGAATCTTTTATTTATCTGGATTATTTTATTTTGTTAGTAATGTCACGCATATTAAATTGATTTACGACGTCATAATAAATTGCATAAACGGTGATGCATAATATGACGTCATAATGGATCCATAAAAGTCAAACGATGTCATTGTTATCCGCGACTGGCCAAACTGTTTACTGTGGGCCGCTCTAAATGAGTTTGTAAGCAGTCATTCTGAATGTTTAGTATTTTATATAATATAGGCTTAGAAATATTTCGTGATTTTGGTGTGATTGTTTTGCTGGCAATCTACATTCGACTGTCGGTTCTAATTATTACGTATACAAGTCTTGAGCCCGGGTGTACTGTACATCGATGTCAAGTTTTTTTTTTGCAGAACTACGCGTTCTGTTGAACGAACTCGGAAGGTATTGTGCGATTATTGGCGACAAACGGTCAGCACAATTATAGGAATGAATTTGCAACACAAATTTCCAAATTAGTTTCACTCTGATCGCTCTCTTCCGTGCCGACTTTGATCGTCCTTATGCCAACGCAAAAA